TGTCCCAGGAACATTTGTTGAAAAGATGATTAATTCCCCACTGAATAATCTTGTCACATTGTCAAAAATAAATAGATTAGCTGGGTGTGATGGCCATGCCTGTAATCTCAGTGGCTTGGGAAGCTGAGGCAGGAGGATCTCGAGTTCAAAGCCAGCCCCAGCAATTTAGTGAGGCCCTAAGCAATTTAGTGAGACCCTGTCTCAAAAAATAAAAAGGGCTGGGGATGTTGCTCAGTGGTTAAGTTCCTGTGGGTTAAAATCTCAGTACCAACAAACAAACAAGGACAGTGGACTGCGCTGGATGCCATTGGTGCTCACTTGTGATTCCAGTAACCAGTGACTTGAGAGGCTGAGGCTTGAGGCCAGTTTGAGCAATTTAGTGAAAACCTGTCTCAAAATAAAAAAGGGTCAGGGAGGTAGGTAGCTCTGTAATAGAGTGCTTACCTAACATGTGAAAGGCCCTGTATTTGATCCCAAGTCCTACAGAAAACACAAACAAACAAACAAAAAATTAAAATAAAACAAAAAATGAAAATTAAAAATCAATAGCCAAATGCATGGTGCACTCCTGTGATCCCAATTACATAAGGAGGCTAATGCAGGAGGATTGCAAGTTTGAGGCCAGCCTGGGCAATTTAGTAAGACCCAGTCTCAAGATAAAAACTTAAAAAGGGATGGGGGATGTAATCCTGGGTTCAGTCCCTAATACTGGAGGGAAAAACCAATAGACATGGTGTCTGAGTTTACTTCTGAACCCTCATTTCTGTTCTATTGATCTGTATTTCTGCCTTTATGCTATTACTACAGTTTTGAATGCAGTTATCTTTGTAGTAAGTTTGAAATCAGGAAGTACAGGTCTTCCAACTTCAAAATTGTTTTGGTATTCTGGGTTCCTTGCATTTCCACATGAAGTTGAGGATTAATCTGTTCATTCAGCAAAGAAAAAAAAAAATAGCACGAGAGTGCTCCATTCTCCATTCTCTTTAGTATCTTAACTTTTAAAATATTTTCTACTTTTTCACATTTGGATCTTAGGTTTATGCTCACTCATCCTTATTGGAGAGTCCTTGTTAGCCTTCCTGTGAATGTCACTTCTATCTATTGTAACAGGTCCCCACTGATAGTGGGAAGGGATGAGAGGGCAATGACACTGAATGTGTGATGAGATGAAGTGTACCAGTATGCCAGTCCTCTTTAGCATAGCTGTCCTTTATTCTGCCTAATTGTTAATATTCACACAGACAGGGCTCTGTTCTGTCTGTCCAAGCGTTCACACTCATTGTTCCTTCCCACACAGGACTCTTGTTGTCTGTTGCCACTATTCCCATCTGGGAGCAAATACCTCTATTCCACAACTCTTGACTTAAACAGGTGAATGGGTGGAAGAGGTTAATCTGCTGTGTAACTTCTTTGTCACCCTCAACTAGTTGTACTGTAAATTTTGTAAATTGTTTCAATTTTTCCTGCTGTCTTCCATCTCTGGGCTTATTTTACCCTGGGAACTTCTACTACTTGTCCTAGCCCTTTATTCTGGGAGTGTAGTACTCTAGTTTCCTCCTTCAGTCTGATTTTATCAGCTTTTCATCTTGTAGTGATTCCTCATAGTATTAGTCTTGCTTTCTTTTCTTTTCTTTTTTTTTAACATGTGTAAAAGCTTTTTTTTTTTCCTTGCTTTCTTTTGATTATGGATTTTTTTTTTTAATGGCTTTGTGTTATTAATGAGATGTTGGAAGCTGAGTTTGCTTGCAGTGTGTTTAGCTACCACCTTGATCCACTCAGTGACTCTGTATGTTGTCTTTTGGTGAAGTAAACGTACTAAAAGAAGAAAAAAAAATTTAAAAACTTCCAAAAAATATTGATGAAATAATTGAAGAAATTATGTTTTTTTATTTTGATGAAGATTGCAAGCAATCACAAATACAGTTTGGCAGTTTGAATGCATAAAATGAAAACTTTCATGAACAAAAGTTAAGACTAGGAATGTATATGAAATTGAACAGGCATGTGTTTCTTAAAAAAAAAAAAAAGTAAATACACATTTGTTAGTGCTAACCTGCTATTTGCTGGTTTACCTTTTTTCCTGCTTTTTGAGAAAGAAGAAAGGTGGGTTCCAAAGTCAGTGTGCACCTTGCCTGAATAACCTCCATAGAGACAACTTTAGAACTTGCCCATGACGGTCATGTTGGTTGTGAGAGAGAAATATGCCAAAAGTGTTTGAAAGAAGCTCTGAGAAAACATTTAAAAAAGGATCTTTTTTTTTTTTTTTCTTTGCAGTGCTGGAGATTGAACTCAGGGTCTTGCACATGCTGGGCAAGAGTTCTACCACTGAGCTACACCCAGCCCAAAAAAGGATCTTTGATTACAGCTTTGGTTCATTAATTTTCAGTGTCATTTCCTCAGTGGTATTCTAAAGTAGTTTTAGATTTCAAATGGCAAATAAAATAATATGTTATAAAGCTTTCAGGTAACACAAAAGGCGATGATTATCCCAACCCAATCATAACCACTGTTAACACTTTTTTGTATGTTTCTTTCCAGTATTTTTTAAATCATACTTTAAAAAAATTACAGTAGTGTTGTATTGTTTTTCTTCTAGTCCAAAATAATGCCTGTTCAGTGAGAGAGCTTAGAAAATAAAGACCAGCACAAAGGGGAAAAAATAGAAATCACTCCTAATAACCACCCAAAGATAACCACAATTAAAATTTGATGTATATTCTTCCAGTACTTTTTTTATAAATATACACACTTTTTTCTGTACTAAAATATCACACTCTAATACAATTGTATAACTTGTTCATTTGCAATAGATTGTGAATGTCTTGTCATGTTAATAAACAGACATATATACTATTTTTAAATGGTGTATAGAATATGAACATATTTAAGTATGTTTATTTAGCATACTTAATCATCTCCCTATCATTGGACATTGAAAGTGTTTCTAATTTGTTACCATTATAAGTAATACCATAGTTAATATCTTTGTCCATACATCTTTCTATGCATCTATGATTGTTTCTTTAGGAATAGATTCCTAGAAGTGGAATAGCTGGGTCAAAGGGTATGTACATTTTAACACTTTTGATACATAAAAATGTCAAATTTTAAGCTGATCACTTGTTAATAATCTGTCTTGTATTGCTACCTAATTGTTTTATGTGTGTCTTGTCTCCCTGATTAGAACATAAGCTTCTAGAGGGTAAGGGAAGTTTCTTACAGTGTGGCTTACAGTGTTGGATTCAGGAGCCATCAACACATATCTTATTGATCGAAAGCAGTGTTTTTCCAGACTTTTGGATGTCATAAACTTATAAACTCAAACATATATTTATTTATTTTAAAGTAGACATAACCTTGCAAGTATTCTATTTTTCTAAGAAAGAGTATTAAAAAACAAAGCCAATTACCATTTTATGTCACTATTATCCCATAAAATACAAGATATTGAATAAGAAAAAGTTTCAGATCTGTGAGAAATGGATAGGACTTAAAGCAACATTTTAGTTTTTTGAAAAACTTATTTCCTTGTCCATATTTTTCTCATTTTGTGTTGGTTTGGGGATCTTCATCTTAGCCTAGTGGTAGACTATAGACCAACATTTGGGAACCGCTGATTTAAAGATTTAGAGAATTAAAAGATAAACCCTTTGAAAGATAAATAAGTCTCCCCTTTACCCACAAATCCATTTCTCCACAATATTAAGGGCTTGTATGCAGGTAATGGCATTTCATTACACAGAATTTGTGTATCTCCATGTATAAATTCTTTAGTAAGCAAACTAGACCTCACTGATGGACATTGAAATATACCTCCAATTGCCAAAAACAAAGACTATTATTTTCTAGGGAATTTGAGACAGGGTAAGTGTGGTATAGTACAAGAAGGCAGGTTTTAGACTCAGAATGCCTAGGTTTGAGTTGTGATTCTGGCATTCATTTACTTAATTTTTCTTTGGCTTTCTTACTTATAAAATGATGATAATATCTTGTTCAGAGTATTTTGACAGTTTCTGTTACAGCACTTACTTGATTATAATGTTGTTATTTGCTTATACATCTGCCTTCCTCACCAGAGCCTGTGCTCTTAAGGGTAGGAGTCATATCCATCTTTTGCAACCCTGGATTGTAGCACAGGGATCTAGGCATAGCAGGTGCTTGATAAAATGACTATTGAATCAGTACAGGATTGTTGTGAGAATTATATGAGGAAATATATGTGAAAGTTCTTTTTAGCTTTATTCACGATACAAACATTAATTGTTGTTATTGTCAGTAAGAGCTATCTTTGGGAGCTCTCAACTTTGGGAAGAGAGAAAAATCACCCCATTTAATAGTTTCATAAATGCATTGCATTTTTTTCTGTTCTATAAGAAAACAAGTTTTAATTGGGGTTAATAACAAGCTAATGCGTTTCCTGAGAAGGCAGATGAACTTCCTCCACTCCCTGGAAATGCCAAGATAGTAAATGTTTGTTCTGTTTGGTTGCTATCATATAATTTTAATTATAAGATCAACTTACTTTGTGCTTAAAAGATGGTAACCATTGATTTATAACTAATAAAATAAGAGTACCGAGCTGTGAAGACAACAGGAGCCTATGTTATGCCCAGTTAGTGTGGGGTAGGGCTCCTTTTTTGACATTCACTGACCTAAGAAAAATATGTTGTTTCTAATCTGTTTGCAAAGCTTCTGGTAAATTTTTGCCACAAGATGGCATTGGTGATTACTGAGTGCACGTACTATTGAACCAATCCCCCAGAAAGGTGCACACAATTGTTTACATTCTTGTGGGGATAAGAGTTTAAAATTTTCATCACTGCTTATATATTAATTTAATTTTGACTTCCAAAACAGAATTAAATGCTACTGTACATCACTTTCTTTCTGTATTCAAGTATTGTTTTGTTTCCTGTTTTTCTGTCTTTATAACTACAGTAACTGTATTATTTGCCATGTGTTGTATGTGTCTGACTTATTGCTGATAATTGTGGTAACAGGTAAGAAGAAAATACGATGGGACCCAGTTAGGAGGCGCTTCATTCAGTCCTGTCCCATCATAAGGATCCCTAACAGGTTTTTGAGAGGTGGGTGATAACTAGCAAGAGATCTGTGCTTCATATGGGTTAAATGGGACTTTGAATGAATTTTCTAAATCCAAAACTGTTTTCTTAAAAAATTGTCTTGAATAGCTAAATTTGAAGTAAGAAAAGTCTAGAACTTAGTTTTAAACCTGTGCTTCATATTGTCCACTGTTAGAACTGTAATTATAAGTTTTGGGAAGTTAGAATCTCTTAATGTATATCAGATGGTAGAAATAAATCATCTCATTGATTGATATCAGTGGTGTTCCACTGTAACTATATTAGAACTTTGAGTAAATAATCCATAAAATATGAATGTAGGAACAATTTTATAGATATGATTCCAAGGAAAAAATAAAAGATTAATTTATGTGATAGTATAAAATATCCCTTTTATGTTAGATCCCATCAATAAAAAGATAAGGGGGAAATATTTGTATCAAATAGTTAATATCATGAGTATATAAAGAGTTCTTATAAATCAATGTTAAAAGCAAATGCCCACAAGAAAAATAGGTAAAGAAATGTGAATAATTAATTCATAAAAAAAGAAATGCCAATATATATTGATATATATCAATATATATATATTTATTTTCACTGTTATAAACATGACAACTAAAAAAATAAGATGTTTTCATTTGCTAGGGTTGGCATACACTAATTATATGGGAAAACAAAGCTCAGATGGAAGAAGTATAAATTTTATGCAGCCTTTCTGGATTCAGTTTGGCAAAATGTATCAGAAACCTTAAAAATGTTTATACCCTTTGACTTGTAGTTCTTAGATTTACACATGTCACATTCCTTTTACTTTTTATTTTTTCCACCAAAATGTATCCAATAATTATGGAAAAAAATCTGGGGAGTTGGGGTTGTGGCTCAGGGGTAGAGCATACACCTAACAGGTGTGAGGCACTGGGTTCCATCCTCAGTACCACATAAAAATAAAATAAAGGGCTGGGGTTGTGGCTCAGTGTTAGATTACTTGCCTAGCATACGTGAGGCACTGGGTTTGATTCTCAGCACTGCATATAAATTAATAAAAAATAAAGGTCCATTGACAACTAAAAAATTTTTTAAAAAATAAAAGTATTGTGTCCACCTACAACTAAAAAGTATATTTAATTTTTCTTTTTTAAAAAAGAAAGAAAATCTAAGGACTGAAAATTCTAGTTCACACTGTTTTTCTAGATATAACAAATTGTCAGACAAGCACGTTGTAATTTAGACTTCATTAAATTATTTATAAACCAGTATATCTAATTTTAACTGAAGAGATTAAAACAAAAACCTAAGAAAAAATCCTGCAGCTGCTATAGAAGTTTCTATATCTAGTGCCTAACCTATTTTTAGCAGCCAAGCTCCAGAGCATGAAAAGAATAAAACCAGGCCTAAATGGATCAAGATATGATTAAATAGTGTAGCATGCCACCTTTTAGAGTAAAATAATGTTATTGATAAAAATTAAGAGGTAATTTTAGCAGCATGTGATAGAAAAACCATTGTATACTTGTGGCCAAGCAGGCATCTAATTCTATAAAATATTTTTTTATTTATAAATTGGAATGCTAATTTATTGATTCACAGTGAGAAATCTAACTTGGGCTGAATGAAGCATAAATTAAACTTTATTATTTAAATATATTATTTATGTTTAATCTTATTATAATTATGCTTACTAAATATAAGCATAATCAGTTTAATTAGGATATAGAATTCAGTATAATAATATAAAAATATAAACATAAAAAAGGAGATAGCGAAATCACTGTTATATTCAGATTGTGGGATTTTATTTTGTATAGTCTCTGTTTTTCCAATTTTTTAATCATGGAAAAAAAGATTGCACAGGTAAGTTTCATATTATTGGTTATTTGTAATCCCTAAATGCAAACAATGGCTGAGAAAGCTGGTCTTAGACAGTTCTGAGAAGAGTGAGGAGTAGTAAACAGCAGTAGCAGTCAAGATCATCAAGGACCTCCTTTAAATCAGTGGCCTTGTCTTAGTGCTCACCTTCTTTGAGCTGTTTATAGTATTTGATGCTATGAACCAACTGCACTTTCTTAAATTTTTCTCTTCTTTTGGGTTGCATTGCTATAGGGTCCTAGATGTTTTCTTCTACCCTTTGGTTATTCATTCTGTTTCCTTCACTAGCTTCTTTCTTCCTGCCCACTGAAGGTGGGTTTTGGCTCCGTGTTCTGTCCTTTCCATGATCTCCTTTGGTTGTCTCATCAACTTCCTCAGGTTTAACTATCTTCATTTGTTCATTTGTTCATTCTTTCGTTCTTTCTCAGTTGCTTCCTGTATGTCAGGCACTGTCCTAGCTTGATGATGTATAGACGTAGAGAATCAGGTAAACAGACAATTACAAAGGAATTTGAGCATAATTCTTTGTGATAAGTGTTGCAGTGAGGCATTGTGGCAAAAGGGTATACAGAAGAGGTTCCTGGCTCAGCTTCAGGGGAGGAGGGGGAGAAAGGAGGGGGAGAAAGGAGTGGCCCTCAGGATGACTTTTCAGAAGGGTTGTGCTTATAGACTGGATGTTAGCAAGGGAAGGTTGGAGTGTTCCTAACCACTGGGACCAGCAAGTTGCTTGAGTAAAGGCATTTACTCAATTAGCATAGTAGGAAAGGGGTGGGCAGAAGCTGGAGAGGGCCTGGCTCTAGTGGACACCAATCAAGGAAAGTTCACGATCAGATTTGTTTTTTTAGCCAGAGGAGAGATTTAATTGAAAGACCAGTTACAAAATTATCACAGTTATCAAGGTGAGAAATGACAAAGCCTGATTTAAGGTAGTTATAGTAGGAATGGAGGGTAGGGGATTGATTTTGGGGGGTGAATTAGATAAGATTTAGTGATTAATTGAAGAGGAGGGAAGAATCAAAAAGACACCATAGTGTCTTCACTAGGTGTTATGTAGGTAGACAAGAGGGTCAGGGTTAGGAAACACATGATAATTCAGGTTCATCTCTGCAAACTAACAGTAGTTCATCATTTAAACATTTAGTTTAAAAGTTTTTTGTTTTTCCCAGAAAAACTTCTTTGGTAGGCCCATTTCCACTTTGATTCTCTAATACTTAGTCTTAAGGATTATTTCCAGGGAAACTTCCCTGGCAAACCTGACCCCTCTTTGTTCTTGTGGTACCCTGTGTACCTACCTGTATTAACATTTATATCATGGAATTATAGTTATTTCTTGTCTGGGCCTCCCATTAGACTGTAAGCTCTGTAAGGGCAGGGATGGTGGGACAGTGCCTCTCATTTCTTTATCTCTAGTTTGTAGCATAGTGCATGTGTGTTTGAGTTGAATTATTTAAAAGGCTGCTGTCAGGGCATAGGATGGGTCTAAAATTTTAGTATGTTCTCAGCTTCTCTCTGGTGGTTGTGACAGTGAACTAATGAACTGCTAAGAATATGAAAATGCTATTGTTTAATTTTTCATTAGGTTTTTTCCTTTTTAACTTATCTACACTTTGGAAATAGCCACTTTTAAGCCTCTCATTTTGGGAATCCTTTACCTTACCTCTTTTGGTGATTGAAGAGTTTCATTTGGCCTACTTTCTGTCACTAAATTTCTTCACTAGATCCCGCATCTTCTCAAAATATATTTCTACCATTAAAAGTGAACAGTTCTGATGTAGTAAAAATGGTGGGTTTCCATCATGAAATAATGAACTGAAAGTACCCATTTACCTCCTCTACTTCTCAGGTATCACTAAAAATGGCAAAACAAATATAAGACAATAAATCACAATTATATTAAACAAAAAGGGGGGGGGCTTTAAAGCCAGATTATTTGTGTCTGAATCCAGGCTCTGCTGTTTGCCAATTGTGTGACGTTGGGCAAATTGCTTATTCTTATTTTTTTATTGCCTCCGTTTTCTTATCTATAAAATTAGGATGATGATAGGTGATGATAATAGTTTGTATCTCCTAAAATTATGAAAATCAAGAGAAAAAATGTATATAAAACACTTGGAATTTTTTACATTTAGCAAATGTGGAATTGATGTTAGCTGCTATCATTATTTTTATTGTTATAATACCAGGAATTTGGGGGCTAAGGCTGTGGCTCAGTGGTAGAGCACTTGCCTCACACATGTGAAGCACTGGGTTCGATCCTCAGCACCACATAAAAAATAAATGAATGAATAAAGATATTGTGTCCATCTGCAGCTAAAAAAAAATTAAAAAAAAATAATACCAGGAATTTCCGGGTAATCAAAAGTAATTGGAATTATTTTGATTAGGAAACCAGCACCAAATAAAATGCAATCCAAAATAGATTCTCTTGCTGCATGATGAAGTCAGAGAATCTCTTAGTAGGTCTCTTTCCCCAAATTCTAAACATAAAGTTAACAAGTTTAAGAAGAGGGATCAGGTTTGGGGATGATAAAACAATAGGGTAAATAAGTAAAGAACTGCCTACAAGGGCTGGGGATGTGGCTCAAGCGGTAGCGCGCTCGCCTGGCATGCATGCGGCCTGGGTTCGATCCTCAGCACCACATACCAACAAAGATGTTGTGTCTGCCGAGAACTAAAAAATAAATATTAAAAAAAAAAAATTCTCTCTCTCTCAAAAAAAAAAAAAAAAAAGAACTGCCTACAAAACAGCTGCTTCTCCTACTTCCTCTCTCCCTCCTTTGCTATGAAAGAGCTCTATGGATGGCATTGGTTCCTAAGATGAGGCATAAGAATAGCTTTTCAAGCAAAGAAGGGGGTTTACCTTGAAGTGGGTTGGGGGTAGGCATTCTAAGCAGGATCTGGAACTAGAAAAAGTGCACAACACAGATCTTTAAATAATGAACTTCCACCATAGATTGGGTGAGAAGGGTGGGACCCTACAATATAAATACAGTCTACCTTATTTTGGCAGCAAAAAGGAAAACTGCTTTCTTTTTCTAAACTTCTAAAGGGAAACCTGTCTGTTCACATACTGCTTACCTGCAGAGACCCACAAAAATTTCATTTGCATGTTTTGAAGACAGATAAACATAGCT